TACATCTGGTGCGGCGTGGGAGGGGCCTTCCTGTTACAAATTGATAAACAAAGGGTTAAATTATTCAAATTAACAATATTCAGATTAACATTATGTAGCATTGCAAAATTTGAACTACTTGTTATGTAATATGAACACAATATGAAAGCACCTGCTGCCCTCGTCTTCTATGCCTGCTAGCCTTGTGACTAGATTGTTTGCAAACGGAGGAAAGATTCATGCCATGGGTCTCGTTGAAGTCTCCCCCGCCGTACATGTGTTCGCCATACCCTCTCATAGCGTCAGTGTCCCCCTTGAGTCGCTTCTTCTTCCTCCTACCCTTCCCTACCTTCATTAGATCTGGATGCGGCACGTAGTCATAACTATTATAAGGTGGCCACTGTGTCGGGTCAAGATATGGCTCGAAGCTCATCTCCCAAATACTAACGGTGTTCGAACGGAGATACAAGGGTGACATATATGGCAGATCCTCATAGTTGTACCCGCGAACCCTGTAGGCCGTGATCATATGAGAGCAAGGGACATGCATGATCTGAGGGATGTTGCAACTGCACTCTACCTTTTCAAGATCAACTCGATAGTTTTGTCCACCATAACGTTCGCCGCCCAAGCTTGTGCCACCCTTGCCCCGTACACTAAAGATATGACGGCGGGGTCCATATGGTTCGGCGGTGTCCTGCTTGGCCAATTCCTCAGCGTCCTTCAAATGTTCAGCTCCGGCCTTTCCAAAACACCTTTGCTCAGCTATATTCCTCTGCACAAGTTTCCACATCTTCACAAAATATTCGTTGCACTTATGAAAGGAGAACTCAACAATTTCAGACACAGGCAACGATCGAACTCCGGTGAATACACGGTTGAAGGACTCCGAGGAGTTAGTGGTCATGATGCCATACCTGAAACCCCCCTCGTCATATGCTAATGCCCACTGAGCCTTCTGTTCCATCTGCGCCTCTAACCAGGCCTTTCCCGCTTCATTTACCATCTTGTCTAGTTCTCTCTTTGTCTCCTTAAACTAGTGCTCTGTACGTACACAACATAGAGCCTTTACCTTGTCACATACCTCCTGCTTCTGCTGACGCCACCAGAAATTAGCGGCAAAGTGTCTCATGCACCATCTATGTATTAGAGACGGGAACCCATCTATATGCTCAGCTGCAGCATTAAGAAGCCCTGCGTGACGGTCTGAGATCAAACATATAGTGCGAGATGGGCCAAGCACTTGTACACATAGAAGCCGCATGAACCATGACCACGATTTATTGTTCTCTCCCTCTGTCAAAGCAAAAGCCACGGGTACTATATGGTCCTCAAGATCAACAGCAGCAACCATCATCAAGGTGCCCCTATACTTTCCTGTTAGAAAAGTGCCATCAACAAGTACGACTGGTCGACAAAACTAGAATGCATGTTCCGTTTGTGTGAATGACCAGAACACACGATGGAGGACATGCCTCATTGGGTCCCGAAAACACATCCCTTCGGTGTCCACAAACCATTTTAAGCCAGGGTTGTAGTAATGCATTGCACATAAGATGCGGGGCACCCTATTGTACGCTTACTCCCAACTACCCCATCGAATCGCCAGAGCAATTTGCTTAGCACGCCAAGACTTTCCATACGTCACATCATACTTAATGAATCCAGATATGAACTGTTGTAAAGAAGACACCGAAATGTCGTTATTGTCATCAACGAGCCCCAATATACGACGGGCAAGGTAACGTGGAGTGAGTTGCTGATGATTTTCCTTCCCCCTATTGTCTAGGCAAGTGTGGGGTTCGACAACTTTAGTTATCCTCCACTTGCCATCACTCTGTCTCTGTCGTGCATTTAACCTCCACATATAACCGTTTTTGCATATCACGTGGTACCTCAACTCCTGGTCCGAATGAGTGATGGTGTATGGCCTATGATGGTACACAGCATAGTCTTGAAGGAAGAGTTTCATATCTGACATTGTATTGAATATCATCCCCTTCCTAAGGGTTTCTTTCTCATGGTCATACAATGATTTTCTACACATCTGGAGGCCGGTGTCACAAACTGCCATATCCGTCATGCTGACATCCCTATAGTTCAGAACGCCCCTGAAAGGTACGTTCTTGGACCTTAGTTGCTCAAGCTCAGTCGCTGTGTAAGATGGTGGTGGAACATACTACTGCGCTTCGCTAATTTTAGCCCATAAATCATAGGGGTATCCTCTGCAGCTAAATCTGTGACTAGTCTACCCTGAGCCTGGACACCATGCAAAACCACAGTTAGTACTGGTAATGGCATAGTATGAACCAGTATTGGCATGACATTAGCCGGTGTTGGCATAGCATCTGTACCTCCTTGGTCATCATCAGAATTGTCTGAATCACTGCTAACTACATCACCGATCCTGTCCTTCTCCTCCTGCTCCTCATCTTCCCGTTCGAACTCATTCACATCGAAGTCATTGCTTATACAGCCTACTACAGTTGAATGAAACTGCTCCTGCGTCAACTGCCTGTCTAAATCTATGTTATCCTGAGTTGCTTCCCCTTCGACCCCTAATTCATGTTCATTGCCTTCAAAACCATCAATGGACGGGCCGTCCTGAACACCCTGCATCCTTTACCCATTCTTCACCACCACCTCAGCCATGGGCACATTGGAACCTTAGAGAACCCTAGTGTAGCGGGACCAATGAGCAGGGTCGCGCAAGGGCATGAGGACATAGTGTGCCCTAGTCTTCCCAGTATCAAATCTCCCCTTCAATATGAAATTACCGCCAAACTTTGCATTCAAACGGACACAAAGGTTGTTGAAGCTAGGAGATTCATCAAACCATTCCAATTCTTGTTCTATATCCTCAAACATACCATATTCGCTCCTAACACTTCCTCTGTATAAAACTCTAACACAACAATCCATCTGCAAAAGCATTTCAACAAACTTCATCAAGTCGTCGAATTCGTCGTACGTAATGTCCATAGTAATATTAATACATATTCTAACTATAACTATACTAACTAATCTAATATTAACATCTATACAAGGCTAACTATAATAACTAATTAGACTAAATCCAATGTATATCTAGATTCAATAACTGTACTAACTAAACTACCTAACTTTACTATCTATACTAACTTACTATATTACATATAATAACTAAACTAACTAACTTTATTAACTATACTTTACTAATTTTACTAACTTTATTAACTATACTAACTAAATGAGGGGAGTACCTCGCGGCAGCGGCGCTCGTCCTCGCGGCGGTGGCACGCTAGACCGGTCCGGGAGGTGCGGGCGCAGGCCTTGGGGGGCAGCCGCCGTGCGTGGCCGGAGGGGGTGGCGCGCAGGCGTGCGGGCGTGGTGGCCGCACTGGGCGGCCGGCGGCCGTGCCGTGCCGGCGTTCGTGGCGCGGCGGCCGGCGTGCTCGGCTGCGGGTTGGCGCGGGCGGACGCGGGCGCGGCGGCGGGCGGGTGCGGCAGCGGGCAAGGGCGCGGGCGGTGGGAGCTGGCGTGGGCAGACGCGGGCGTGGCGGCGGCGGGCAGGGCCTTGCTGCTCGGGCAGCGGAACTGGCCGCGGGGGTTTTGTTCGCCTCTGCCGCGCCACGGATCAGGGCGCGGCACTGCCGCGCCAAGATCGGTGGCGCGGCGAGCCCTGCCACGTCACCGGTCAGCAATTGCGGTCGTCGCCACGTCAGCCCGCTGCCGCGTCACCATGCATGGCGTGGCACAGGCATTTGGCCGCGCCATGGCAATAGACGCGACAAAAAATGTTAGTTTAAAAAAAATAAACAGTGTTAAATTTAACATTAGTTTTCAAAAAGTGTTAAAATTAGAAAAAAAATTCTCGAGTGGCAACTTGGCAAGTCCTGAAGCTGTACCGAGTCCATCGGCGACACCCGTTGCCAGCCACTCGAGAAGCTCCTAGCGGCCTCGACACAGCAGGTTCGAGAGGTATGGCTGTCATGAGGTCGTTTGGTATACGGACAAGCTGAGCCACGAGGAGTCCTGCCCCGCGCGTCGCACAACTGCCCCATAGACGGCTACCTACAGCGGCCTGCGGCTCTGTCAACAGCCCACCACAACATCGACATGTCAGGAAGCCTTCACCAGGGGCACGACGGTGACCATGCACAGGGCCTCGTCACCGTTCTGCATGCTACTGCTGCTGCTCGACAGGGAGAGCACATGTTCCTGCTGCAGTGCTGCTCAAAGGTCATCGCTGTTTCAGTAGGTTTGCATGCTCACTCAGATGGGTTGCTGCCTTGCTGGAGTGAGCAGGAACTACAAGTGACCCAAATAAATAAATTATTTGTGAATATGTATTTCATATTTTGCAACTGAATCTCATATGCACGTTGGTCAGATTTAATCGGAAACGATTTAACTGAGACTCTGACAGTGAAGTGCATTTGATAATGGTATCTTATGTTTGTTCAATCTGCAGCCGTTTGTATTTCAAGTGTCATTGTCTTGACATGGATTAGATCAAAGCGGCTGGGTTGTCTAATTTAATCAGCAAATTTATTGATTACATAAGTTACTACTATTACCCTACAAAATTTTCCCATCTCACCCCTAATATTTCTGTCATACTCTATTATCCTAATCAAATATCATTGTACTTTACTCTTTCCTTCATCCATCATATACGCACCTAAAATTTGGTAAATCAAAACTCCAGCGGCAACGCGCGGGGAATTATCTAGTTAAATAAAAATGAATAAAGATGGCATAGTGGTGTATACTAATCAAGGCAAATTTGTTGCTTTTGACAAAATTTTAGTTCCTTGCACATGGGTAGTTCTAGACAATGAAGAGAGATTTTGAGCCCTTTTTTCTCAGGTGATGATGTTCGAAAGGAGTCGACAAGGCAAAATTTATGTACATAGGATGGAACCGTTGGCGAGTACAATCGGTAGCAAGAAACAAAATGGAAAGAAAATGAAAAATTAAACAGAGAGATAGATGGCGTGTGGCGAGCACACGCAGACAGAGTAATTAACAGAGTTTCGGTCAGTGGCCGCCGCCGTCGTCGTCCAGGTTGATGTCCCTGATGAAACAGGCGGCGAGTTCATCAAGGCCGACCTGGATCCTGTGGCCCTTGGGCAGGAAGACGTTGAATCCCAGCGCCAGATCAGGGCTGTCCTGGAACAGGGCCTTGGCGGTGGACGCCACCTCGGCGATGCCGACCCGCTGGTTCCTGAAGTCGTCCATGACGCGGAGGAAGAGGTGGTACTTGTCCGGGTGCCGCTCCTTGAACGCCTCCTTCACCATCTGCACGAAGCTCATCGCGTCCTCCACCGACGGCGACCATGATCCCGCGGCGGCGGCCGGCGCGTTCTTCGCCCCACCTACTGCACCTCCGACAGGCCTGAAAGAGTCTCAGACAAGAGACAATTGTTAGCACGCAACGCATCGTCATCGATCCAACAGAAACGAGGATACTGCTGACTAGCGCCGATCTACTGAATCTTGAGGATGAGGAGGAATTGATGAATTCAACCAGGGACTGACGAGGATCATGTACCTGTCACTGGAGAAGGACGAGTAGGTCATGTCTAGTGGTAACAATGATCCAAGCAAACTGATCGGGGTGCAGCTGAAGGCAATCTGGACGGCAGGCTGAAAGAAGCCAAGAACAGGAAGAAGAGTGTTTCTGTCGATCTGTAGGGGTTAGTAGGCAGGAAGGCAGAATTTGTGTGCCCTACTTAATAATTTATAGAGTCGCCATGGATTCGATCAGCTGGGGTGGACCGTGGATATGGATTGGGTTGGCAGGCAAGGAGAGGCGGCTAGGTCATGGATCGGCTGATGATGGGCAGCATGAAGATTTGTTGCGACTGATATGGTAGATAGATACTGATGACCGGGTAAGCATGGCATGGCATGGCATGCCTACTTGCGTGGGTTCAAGATGCATAAAGACTAATCCCGTGTTTAGTTGGTGAAAAGTTGAAAATTTGGCTACGGTAGCACTTTTGTTTTTATTTGGCAATTAGTGTTCAATCATGGATTAATTAGGCTCAAAACGTTCGTCTCGTAATTTCCAACCAAATTGTATAATTAGTTTTTTTTCGTCTACATTTAATGCTCCATACACGTATCGCAAGATTCGATGTGATGGATACTATAATACTTTTTGAGAAAACTTTTCACGAACTAAACAAGGACTAACTTTTTCTGTGCCATCTCTTTTGCTTCTCCATGAGTCCATCTCGCAGCAACCAACTGAACACAAGACTGAACAGAGTTCCACTCAGTCGCATGCGAACTGATGCAGTGTCGTCTTCCCTTTCGTTTATATATCTATTATAAAGCTAATCAACACTGTTCTATCTCAACATGCACGACATCCACATCATCTTTTACTAATAGTCATGTCATGCCACTAACTTCCAACCTCTTAATACAAACTATCTACGTCACCTCAAGTTCTACATTAACATGTAAGACATCCACGTCATCTTCCAGTAATAGCCATGTCATGCCACTAACTTCCAACTTCTTAATGCAAGCTATCAACGTCATCTCAAGTCATATGTCAACATGCAGGGCATCCATATCATTTTCCAATAATAGCCATGTCATACCACTAACTTCCAACCTCTAATGCAAGGCACACACGTCATCTCAAGTTCTATCTCAACATGTAAGACATCCACATCATGTTCCACTAACTATCCACATCATCTTTCACTAATAGACATGTCATGCCACTAATTTTTAACCTCTTAATACCAGATATCCATGTCATCTCTACTTAATTTTATTTTTAATTTTTCGCAATCTCTGCAGTAACGCGTGAAGTATCCTGTAGTTCTATATACAGGCCTTGCTACCTACTCTGGTTAACTTCTCCTAGAAGGTAAGAGTTCAAACAGATTTCGAATTTTCAACCTATCATTTTTAGTATAATTCGATAATCAAAATAACTACTCTTTCATTTTCAAATTGTGAGTCATTTTAGCTTTTTTCATATAGTTTTTTATACTTTTGATGTACACTATATTTAAATACGTAGTAAAATTAATATATTTAGAAAAATTATTGCAATGTCTTACCATTTGAAATAGAAGTAAGAAAAAAAAAGAAAACTAGGACTATGGCCTTGTTTGGCATTTCGTGGGCAGCTTTCTCGGTGAAGCTGAGCTGTTTTGGAAAACTATTTCGTAAAACCACTTCACCAACTGTTTGCAATGAGAGTTGTGAAAAGCTACCTTTTTTTTCAGCTCTACATCTCTTTATTCTTTTGTGAGAGCATAAAAAGAGCTTCACCTATGAGCTGTTTAGCTCGTAAAGCTCTGGGTGAAGCAGTGCCAAACATGTCCTATATGAGTTGCATCGAATGTATTAGCTTCCCTATCTGTTTGCGTATTGCATGCAAGGCAAAGAACACCAGAAAACATGCCTATATCGTCCGGATTGATCCGACTCCAGAAGGATGGCACTGTTAATCTTTGGTTTTGGTAGAGTTACATTTTAGGAAAAAAGTTACATCTAAATGCATGTTATAAAGACGCATTTGTCTATGCAGATGAATGCACATGTTCAAAATTAAATTTCACTTTGAAATCAAATTTAAAGGCATCGGAGAAAAGCTAATATTTTTCATGATACGTGTCTCATTATCTGTAACATCCATGAAAATTTTGAGTTTGTTTTGAATGTTTTCAAATTTAATTTCAAATAAACCTAATTTTGAGCATGCATGGAACTTTGGATTTTTGTATGCTAATAAATTACATAAAAAATACTTTCTAAACCATGAATTCAGATGATTTTTTAGATTAAAAAACATTTTGAGGCTAAACAAGTTAAACAAAAACTCAGATATAGCATTCCTGGAAAAAGTTTAATTCTAAAATTGCAAAATCTATGATACCAGATACAACCAAAATTTGCCATGCTTGAGGTTTAACATTTATTTACAATATTTTGGATGCCATTAGGTATTTTGTTCTAGAACAACGAAAACACATCGAAAAAGCTTAACTGTAGAATGACTCATATAAAGAATCAAGTTTTTCTTATTATGCCAAGATAAAATCGTCTTAGGGGTGTATGATTTTACCTAAATTCTCTTTTTGGAAATAACAATTTTCAAAGTCGTTCAACTAGGAAACTACTTCGTATTATTTTTTAGTTCAACAGATACATTATATGTTTTTGTAGTTTTCATATAAAAGTGCATTTTAAAAATAAAAGCTCGTTATAACGTCACATTCAACCCATAAAAATGCACATTCACATAATCACGTATATGACCTTACATCTAATTAATAAATCTAAATATGTAGGTATCGGTTGCTATATATCATAACCACTCACACCAGTTTTGTTTAGTAGAGCTTACGATTAAAGTGAATTTTTTATGCCAGTCACAGTAAAAAGTCATACTTTCCTTTGCACATCCGTTTTCTTGCTTGGGGCAAAACCAATAAACCTGTATGTACCCAGCGGGAACTACTTTCAAGATTCAAGTTTGTAGTCCAGCCAAGCAGCTTGTTCGTTCGTTGATTTCAGCCAGGGTTTATCAGCCAGCCAACAGTGTTTTTCTCTCACAACAAATCAACATCAGCCGAACTTATCAGCCCAAAAACCAACCAGCGAACAGATCGAATGGCAGAAGCAATAAAGCATGTTTTGTCTTAACAAGTTCATTTTCAAACGAAACATTTTAAGCCAGCCTATAGCAAAAGCGCTACTATCTCCGGTATTGCTCGTATCGTCCAGCTTTGTCCTCTAGTGAAGACAATATTACCTCTGGCGCCTCCTCTTAGAAGTTAATATATAGCAAAAAAAAAAGTATTTAGATCAACATTCCATAGTCATTTCGGAGTACCCTAAATAGGAAAAGAAAATATAGGGTCCGGACACTTGTATCTCCACTCAACCCATGGGCCGCTAAGTTCTAGTTTAGTGGGCTATATATGGTCTACACTTTCTTCAGTCACATGGATCACAGGAGAAGGAATGGAGCGAGTTGTGGAAGATCAATGTTCCTTTCAAGATCAGGGTGTTCCTGTGGAGATTGGCTAGGCACTCAGTTCCGACGGGTGATGTCAGGCATCATAGGAACATGGCTACGGATAGGGGTTGTTCCTTATGCGGTGCGGATGATTCATGGAGGCATGTGCCGCTAGAGGGCAACCTAACCAGATGTGTTTGCCCCTAGAAAGGGAGGAGATTACCGAGTTCTTATGCCAAGTGCAATGCTTGGATGCTCGGGCTTGGCTTGTAGAGGTGATGCGATCGCTTAAGCATGAAGAGCTTACAAGGGTCATCATCCGGCTATGGGCGACTTCCATTAGATGCAAGGCGATACACCAGAATTATTTTTAGAGCCCTCTGTCGACCCATATGTTTGTTGAGCGATTTATTGGTGAGCTCATGGAAGTCCAGCCTGAGAAGAAACAGGCTCGGCTAGAAACAGCTCAGGGGGCGCGGCCTCCTCGGTGGATCAAACCGCCGGCTGGGCTAGCCAAGATCAACGTGGATGCAACAGTCTCCAAGAATTTGAGGCGTTCGGCATGTGGCACGTGACGAGGGAGGCAAGTTCTTGGGAGCCTCGACACCGGTAGTGGAAGGAAACACTGACACGGAGGTGGTCGAGGCGATAGCCTGCCGCGAAGGGGTGGCCCTGGCCAGTGACCTTGGTTTGTAGGCAGCAAGGCTGGCTAGTGATTGTGCCAACGTGGTTCGAAGCATCCAGGGCGAGGAGATGGGCAGGTATGGTGCTATTGTCCTGGAAATAAAGCCTAGAATGGAGAACTTTTCAAGGATTGATTTCGTCTTCGAAGGGCGGAGTTCAAATATTGATGCACATCTCCTAGTTAGAAGTTCTGTAAATTTATCAGTAGGAAGACATGTTTGGTTTTTGAGCCTCCCGATGGCATTTGTAACTATATTTCGTTAAATGAATAAAGGCAGTGCTCCACTAAAAAAAAAAAAACCAGGATCCATCACCACTCGTGTGGGTTTTCATTTCGTTTTTTTCCTAGGCCAACCAGAGAACAAACTAGGTGGCTTTATATATTAAGAAAAAGATACGCATATAAATTTACCATGACCATGACTTACACCTTAACGGTATAGAAATTAGACGTACACCCATGCTCTCAAACAGCCAAGCTAGGTTCATGTTTTTTTTTGTTTATCTAGGGTAATAAATTAGTATAGGGTCTTCAAATATATATCTATGTCGAGGCATTTCGGATGCTTGTTACGGTGTGTTCGGCTGGCCACTTTTGGCTGGCTGGACTTCCTTTTTTTTCCAGCCGGAGCAGTGTTTTTCTCTCACTATTCTCCAGCTGCTACAGTACTTTTCAGATGCTACAGTATCATTTTAATGCCAGCCGAACACCGCCTTAGTCTACGTGGGCTGGGGAAGAAACTAACCTAATTGCTCTGTTAATCTGAAAAGAACTTTTATTTTAAATCTGTTAGCCTAACAAGAGAGCAACTTTGAGAATGATCCCTAAATCAGGGGGCACTACTTGGGATTGGGAGGTTCCCTCTACTTGTTGAGCCTTCAAATTCAGCTATTAGTTCGGGCAACAACTACTACATCCTAACCCTTAAATTCACATGGGACCCATCCACCATTAAGTCCAGTAATTTTTTTTCTTTTCTTCTCCCTGTCTCTCACATCCACGAGTAGACTCCTTTCTCAGTATCCCTCCGTGCGCCACGGGCCATGGCCGAGTAGTGGTGACCCACATCGGAGGAGGGTGGGTGGCTGGGAGGGGCGTTCACGGTTGGGCCTGCGGTGACGGCATGGAGGAGGACGAAGGGTGGAGCTGCTCCGGAGAAAGGCACTGGGAAGGAGGGCGCATGGGGTGGAGCCGCACGGCGGGGGAGCAGGTGTCGTGGAGAAGGGCGCATGGGCACATGTTTGAGAACGTGCCAGGGGGAGGAGGGCGCATAGAGAGGAGAGGTTGCACCGGGAGGAGCCACCAAGGGAGGGTGCAGTGGCGGAGGCCGCCGGGAAAGGCGGGTACATGATGAATGCCATCGGAGTAGGCGCACGTGATGGACGTCGTTACTAAGGGCATGGGAACTGTCGGGGATCAAGCGCGCGCAAGATCCATACTAGAGCGGGATGAGAAACAGTGGAAAAAGAAAAGTAGGGTCCTCTTTAGAACCCCAGAAATGAAGATTTGACGGAAGAATTTGAGGGACATAGTTGATGTTTGCTCAAATAAGGTGGTTATG